GTGGAATCCTGATTCCGTTGGTGGAGGTTCAAAAGTAGTCGGAGAAATGATGCAACCTACCATCAAAACTTTGGAGAAGGCATCGAGGGAGTATCGAAAGGCGTTGGCGGCTGAAGGTGTTGAGGGAACTTGAAAACTTATCCTTTTGTCTAGATAGTCTTAACATAGCGACGGCGTTTGATTGGGAAGGAATGACACTGGCATGTGAAGGTTGATAGTTCCTTCCACGATGAGGTAAACCGCTTCGTAAAGTTTAATTTTCTACAAATAAATATTTACTAGGTTTTTGTTTTATTTTCCCTTTGTCATGACATTACTCTCCATGTATATGAGACTTTTCTGATTTTGTCTTATTCATTCGCTACTTGCATTGCTTCTACCTTCATGCTTTTGGATATCATTCCTTACGTCATGGATATTATAACAGTTGTACACCCAAATCCTTCATCGCCAACTGGTAGTAGAAGTCCTCTACTGCCCAGAACAACATCACCTCAGCAGACGCCGGCACATAAAATTCGTCGTAAGGGATCTTTCATCAGGGCAATCCCAGACTCTTCGGAAGAATCTCCGCCAAGCACTGACAATTCCATATTTGAAGCATTTTTGTTTTCCAATAGCAATAGTGAGGACAGTGTGCATAAATCTGATACATTGCTACGCCCCAAACAAGCGACCTGCGAGGTTTCTCCATCTAATGACGAAAACATGAAACAAACATCAATCTCTACTCAACCCGAATCTACAACGACGGAGTTTCTCTATGGCCATGGTACGGTCCTAGATACCATAACGGAACAAAAGAGCTATGGTACTATGCGTAGTGTCACTCGTACCAAATCAGCAGATGATATATCCACCATTCGTAGCGTCGCCCGTACGAAATCCGCAGATGGCATCTCTACTTCTCCACTTCTTGGTCATCGTGACAGTTTTACTATAGCCAAAAATCGTCCTCGACACAAGCAATCTTTCAGTCTTGACGATATATGGTGTATTAAGGATTCCTATCACGACGCATGTGCCATGATTGACCAAGCTGCCCGACGCAGATTACCCATCCACGAAGTCTATGCCAAGCCCAAAGAGCCTCTTCTTGCACCCCCAGAACGCCCTGATACACCACCAGGATGTCCCTCTTGGACTGAAGCACAAAGACCTGGTCCACGCCAGCATTTAATACCTCATCATACTCGTCTTCAGAGGCTTCTAAGAATGCCGTCATCGGGGCTCACACTTTCACCAACACCTGCGAGATCTTTCTTCACCGGGAGGGTCGTGTCGGCTCCAGGACTCACAAGACTTCCTCCTCGTTTCAGAGCCCCGAGAAGTGTATACTCAGCCATCGATACCCACCCGTTCAGCAATGCACCAGTCCATAAAATTGATCCCGAACCACCAATCGAAGCACCCCGTCCTATTGTAGCCCCAATCTTGAGCCATCATCCTCGAATCTCTTCACTCCCCTCGGCCACTCCACTAACATTAACAAATTCCAACGCTAAAGGCAAGGGAAAATCCAAATCTAAATTCGTTCGTTTCACTCCCTCGGCCACTGCGCGCGACTCCGAAATACTTAACCTACAACACGCAATTGAAGCAACTAGTTCGACAGCTCTTCACCCATTAGTCGATCATTCCAACTTTCATTCTGTGCCAATAAAGATACCAAAATGTCCGCATAGAAAGGGAAGAAAATATGCTATGAATGAAGTGAATCAGAGATTCAATTCACCAGTTGATGCTTATCAAGTTCCAAGAAGCAACCAGTACTTCCCCCTTCCGTCTGTGGCACCTCTTCCTAAACTACAGATGCCTAGCATAAGGGGCTTGCGATCGATGGGCGATTCGGCTATTTCACTTCACGCTTCTACGTATTCTGGCGAGAGACATCCTACTTCGATTGATATCAATCATGGCACTAACAGAGATAACGATGAAATTCGCAGAGTATCCCTCTCTCCCTCTCTCATCAGCGACATCAATGCTGAATTCCCAAATACAAGTCGAGACGACGTCGATCTTGGCATCATTGATCTGGAACATGAGAATCGTACAAGTGTTTATACAAGGTCTCCAGGTACACCATTAGCATCTCGATCAGCATCCGCAAATACGAGTGCGAACACGAGCGGGTATTTCATGACTGGCGCATTGCATATCCCGCATGTAGAGAGGGGCGAACAACAGGCGCTTAATGTGCCCATTTTGACGGGAGCGAGAATGATGAATGTATGGAGTCCGAGTTTGAGAATGGGTGGCGATGGATATGGAACGGGGATTTCAGAGGGGGATTTGGCTAGTGTTGCCAGAGCTGAAGACAAAAAAGATATTGATGAAAGTCTTTGTTGGAAGTGTAAAGTTATAGGCGCGAAGAGAAAAGTGGAAGATTGGATAGATAGAGGGGGTGATTGGGTTTGTTTTGTTTGTTGTGGGGGGTGGGAGGAGGAGAGGGGAGAAGTGGCAGACCAGGGAGAGGCGGAGAGGAGGAGGAGAATTGTTTTGGGGGGAGTACCGGGTGTGGGTATTTAGGCGATGAGATGAAATGATCGAATTGAGAGAATTGTGAGTAAATGATGATGAATTGGTATAAGGACGTAGTCGGTAGATGTGGAGATGAAAAGATATGGATAAAGAGGTTGTGCGTCAGAAGATTGAAGAGGGGAGAAATCAGAAGGTATTGTTTTCACGTTTTTTCCCTAGTTGGTACAATTACCAACTTTGACTGATTAATATTGATACTTATCAATAATAGCTTTAGCACTCAATCCTTCATCCATTGGAAATACATTGAACTTTTTCGATTAGTTTAGTCTAATGAGTAGTTCTAAGATATTCTCACTCATTCATACTCCATCAAAGCAAAGTGGTCCCTTCAAACCTTGGTATCAATCATAATATGCACGCGAACGTATCGACGCATTAACTTCCCAAATACACAATCCCCTGTAGATAATCTTTCTTCACATTTCATGCACATTCTGTCTCGGAGCATAGTACTCCTTCATAACATTAACACCTCCGTCCATTTCTCTCGGGGGAAGTTCATTCGACAACTCATTCGCAGCGGGTCCACGACCAAACGATGGAGGAGAGGTATAGATTTCTTTCGAATCGATTTCTTGCGTCATATTATGTGTACGCTTTTTTCGACGTCGTATTAAGAGAAATACAGCAGCGGCGATTCCAATAATTATGACAGCGGCAGCAATGCCTACTCCAGCCGCAAGGGCAGTCGAGTTGTTGGGCTTAGGGCTGGTTAAAGGGGTTGGAGATGAGGATGATTGAGAGTTTGAGGAAGGAGAGGAGAAGGTGGCGGATTCTGATGTTTTTGTGGTCATTGCAGCTCCTGATTCTCTGGGAGTTGCCGTGTATGCAGTGTCTGTGGAGGATACTGTGGAGGAGGTTGTGGTGATAGATGAAGTTGTTGTTGCTGTTTGTGAAGAGCCTATCATGGAGGCAAATACGGCATCGTCGATGTTCCATCCATTGATGTGTTCTCCGTGTACAGAGAGCGTTGAGCTAACTGTCAAACTTGTGGGTTGGAAGATGCCGCCGGTAGCAGTTTGATATTGGAGGATCTCACCGGCGGTGAGGGTGGACATGCATTGGGTTGGGTAGTCACCGTATGAATGTGATGGAATTAAGATGGAAAGATTATAATCGCTATGACTGTCAGTTATTTTTCCCGACAAAAATGCTTTTGCAGGATGAGCAAGAATCTTGTGATCACATACGTAGGACAACAAAAGACTTGTGTAACACCCGCACTATGAACGGAAGTTGCAACGGTGCTATACGCCGCAGGACAATTGAACGTCGGACCCAAAGATATCGTAACACTCGATGGCTCTAGCCACCAACTGGCCATTTCATCTGCAAAACATCGCGGAGAACCAGTGTCAAGAACAGCTTGATATAAGGGATCCCATCCAAAAACTTTCCCGGCATCTTTCCCCGAACCAACATATACCAAACTTGAGCAAGCTGCTGTAGAAGGCCATGCTGTAGACAATGGCAACCAAGTCGTGATTGTTGCACTTGAAGTTTGGAGAATCTGATCTGGAAACTTAGTGGATACCATTTCAACAAGGAGTATCGGAATTTCAAAGACTTCGATCAGTTCATCAACGATTCATTTTGGGAGAGAAAAAAGGGAAGAAAAAAAAAGAGTGAGTTCCTAACAATAGCACAAAGAGACGAAGAGCAAAATAGGAAGATATGGCTAGAGGAATATGTACCGCCTGGATCAAAAATAAGCAGAATGATGAAAATATAACACAACCAAAAACCTTAAACTTTAAGATTAAATTGGTATCTGCGCAGATCCATACAATACAGATCGTAGAGCTCCATTTGGATGATAACGACAGAGCTGAAGCAAAGATATTGCCGCCGAGGTTTAGTGCTTACACCGGTGTCATGGGTTGAATAATCCTTCGCGAATCTTGAGTGGGGTCCGGCAAATCTCTCGAGACTTCTGCGATTGATTTGACCGCTGATTCATTTGTCGAACTATATTGAATTAGCACCGAATCTTTCGATTAACTTGGTTACCAAATACAAAGATTCAATAGGTGAGATAATCGTGAGTTTCTCTGTTTTCGATATAAGATGGAGGGTCCACGGGCAGGTATGTCGTAGTGGATGAGGGGATTTCGACCCACTTCTCCTGACTGTGCCACATGGCTGCAGTGGTGATTAGCCAGATGAAGATGTCGGGTTCCGAAAAAAGATACAAACTGCAGCTCACACCTAGCAGGTCTCGAGAATTTGAAGTTGGACAATTCTGTTGCAGATTCTAGCCACAGACTAAACTATTCTCCGCCATGAGAAAGTTTTTGTTTTCATCATGGCAGGCAATTGAAATCATAATCGTTAAAGTTGGATATTTATCTCTAGTAGTGCACGTATGTATGTACAGAATCCCACCTTCTCTGCTATATGCACCCTTTCAATTATGTTTAGCAGAAAATTTCATAAAATCATAAGATCAAAATCTAGATGAAGCGACCAGCCTTCTCCAACAAAGCAGCCTGGTAGTTGAAAGCGTTCTTGATAGTGTTGTTGTACTGTCCAGGGTATGTCTCACAATCAGTACATGGGTTAATGGTATGTTTGGCACCTTCGACGAAAGCTTTCGAGGTATCGTTGGAGCCGGAAGTAAGGAAGGCCTTCTCGGCATTCAAGTACTCGTAATGTCCAGCGTTACCAATCAAAAGGAACGGGACCTTAACACCCTTGACAGCGTTGATAGGAACCATGTGGGAGGAGTTCCATTGGATACCGTCGATACCGTCGGCCTTGATCTTGTAATCGGCATTGACCGTGGTGGCGAAAGTTCGGAGGTAGCGGCCAATTGTGGTCATGAGGGCTCCGTCGTAGAAGGACGACGAGGTGTTGTAATTGCTGATGGCATCCGCACGACCTTGGGCAAAGGTAAGGAGACGGTTGTTACGGACAACAGCAACAGTGGACCAACGAGATAAGAAATCGGCAGTGTAGTTGCTGCTTCCACCACTGGCATTGTAGCCGTCAGTGGTGCTGTAGAGATCAAGAGTTGCGTCGATGTCACGGAGACCAGTGGATTCGTTCTTGACGGCAGCGTTGAGACTAATGAATCCCATTGTGGAAAGACCGTAGTTGGCATCATGCAAGATGACACCGTCGGCAGGTGGGAGACCAGCAAAGCCGTCTGAGCAAAGGCTGGTCTTCTCAGGTCCATTACAAGCAGACACTCCATTCTCAGCAATATTTTGGCTGTTGGATATTAGGTTTTTCTTGCGTGGTCATCATTTGAGACATTTGTTGAAAAAAAAAAAGAAACTTACTATTCAGATATCATGGCTTCACCACTACTGTGACCCCAGAGAACGACCTTCTCGATGTAGGTCTGGTTACGTAGCCATTGAACCATCTCACCGACGTTGATCATCATGGCTGGGAAGTCAAGATCATTCATGAGCCCAGTCTTGGAGGCAGCATTGTTACCACAAAGAACTGTGTATCCACAAGCGGCCAGCTGGGTACAAGGGTAGAAGTACCAGCTGCAAGAAATCTTTAGTTCATTGATTGATTGTGGTGATAATAGATGGGAGAACTCACTAATCTTGTTCTGCGTGCATAACCATAAGAGCGATGCTTGCTTTTGGCTCGCTAGTGTTCAAAGGTCTGTGGAGAGCACCAACAAAACCGTCACCATTGTAGGCAGAAACAGCAATAAGCTGTGGCAACAAGGTCAGATTGACAGGAGCACTAGCGTATGCTAGTGTATCCACTTGAGCATTGGCGACTGAAGCGCTGAGAGCAACTACTGCTGCTACAGCACTCTACATTGTGACAGCGACAATGATGGATAGAGATCGGTGGAAAGTAAAGCCCGGATTTCCTTAGTTGATGGATCGACGAAGAGGTGAGATTGAGATGGCCAGTCGCCGCCTCTTATATCTTTTCGAGCGCATGGATGAATTCGTGAGATACCCCCAGTCTTCTTCGCTCAGCCTCTCTCGAGTATCAGTATGGACTATGTGGATAAAGGTGTACTCGTAGGCTGGCGATAATGTTTCCCACAACCCACCTATTTGTCTCTCCACCGCTTCCCAAAATATCCATTGTACGGTTGCGATGTCTATTTCAAACCCCGCTACCAAGCTTTTCGGGTAAAAATCATCAATCAATATGATCAACAAGACTCTGCAAGTACACTTGAGAGAAATTCCATGATTTTTATGAGATAATTTCGCATGATTTTGTCAGTAAACCTTAAATTTATAGGGTTGCGATACCTTTCGTCGGTTCTATCAAACCATATAACACTTCGATCAGTAGAATGATTATTAGAATGATATCATTGATTTAAACTCTATTGATGGAACAAAGTTCCGCCGTTTTCTGGGCGTGTTTTGCAACATTTTAAACCTTTAACCTTGGTCAACTATCTTTAGCAGCATAAACCCATTTTCTAGAAGGGTCGTCCTTTCTATCATGAACGATTGAAAAATATTCTCTAAGTGATCGATGGTTGCATTGACCAACGAGCAAATTAAAAAATTCTGCATGCGTAATCATTGAGAACCTTGCCACTAAAGGTAAGCATGAAAGTGTTAGAGTTCTTGTGTTTGTGAGAAAACTGACGTTAGGCCAGATCACGGTCCCGAAATGACTTAGATGTCGTTTAGTTTGAGGTCTTCGGTAGAACTAGTTTGGCTTAAAGGGGTAAAACTTTTATTGGATCCTTGAGCTTCAATCGTAACACACATTTTCTCCCCACACATTGAAGAAAAATGACACTGATTGCAACTGCTCAGCAGCTTTGAAAGCTATATGTTGTTCGAGATAAGCCTAACATTGCTACATTAGAAATTATGCGTAATTTTATGAGATTATGAACATTCTTCGAGGACAGATTAGTTGGCAAGACAGCATTAATTGATACGGCAATCCAAAACACCTCACATTCTTGTTGCTAGCAACTCGTTCGATTACAAATATCCCCTCGACAGATTTCATGTCACAGTGTTTCGTTTCATCTTTCTACGGATTTGGAATTAATCCACAATCTGAGCTTTTCGGATATATAATATGAAACACGTGACAACCCCAATTTGATGAAAATAAAGCTCCACTCCGAATACCTACCTAGGTAGGTAGGCAGTGTTTCGTGAATTTGCATCTTGAGGTAAGTTTTGCGTTTGATATTTCTCCATTTGAGAGGTGCACTGATTGTGGATTAGATCGTTACTCCGACATAGCTGGTTCACTTCGTGGAGTGAGCAGTTACTCTGCACCAGCGAGCAGCTGTTCGAGCGTCTAACCAATCGACTTGAAGGACTTCCTTGCACCCTCAGGTAGAGCGCGGCTGGATAAATTCCTTATACCATCGAAGACAAAATCGCTACCAACATTTTGCAAATGAGGGATTCTCCTCGTTGAGACATCATATACAGCACCAATTACAACATCAACTCGACAGCAGCTACCACAATCTACGCCAACTCGATTAAAACCGAGGTATGACTCCTAAAACACTCAGTGCAAATCTGAAAATAGCTAGGGTCAGACGGTCTCTCTACTTTCCGTTCTAATGTATAGCAGATTAGGCGTTGCTGGAACAGTATGATATATACATTGGCAGTGCAAATTCCGACAGGGACACTAGGTTTGTAAGAATCATGAGCGTTGGAAAAAACTTCAGTTTTTCAACCTTATGGACAATCTTAAAGTTGGGACCTATCTGTTAAATATGAGGCTGTTCAGCTGTTGGCACTCGACAAGGAGACGTCCGCTCTCAGAAATCTGGTAGCATCCTTCGGTAAAGAGAGCAAGATTATGTGGCGTGATGTGCTGGCACTGAGAAAGATTCAGCGATCAACATTTTGCAGTGTTCAAATAGCTAAGTTGGAGAGACAGCATGAATGATGTGCAGTTCACGGTCTTAGTAGGAGTTTTGAGCAAGAAGATGTAAGAGGCATACTGCCCGATCCAAGCATCCACACATCCAATAAAGCTTTCAGAGTCGATGCCTTACTAATACAGGGGATTTTTGAGATAGATTTTCAAGAAATTCTGAGGCGCGAATTTCATTCTTGGTAGTCATTTCAGCTGAGAGATATGCATAGCTTGGAAAGAGTGACACCTTAATTTATCCACTATAACTTCGCGAACATTCCGATCATATAGCACGGATGTATACGATAATTGGAAGTGTTTTCTTGTGAGATAGAATCCCATTACCTTTTACTCTCGAATTGGCATAGATAAAGCCTCTAGTCACTTTGAATCATTTACTAGCTCAAAGATTGACGTGAGACAATTCCAGCCTTCCAGTTTCAGCCCCAAAAGCTTCTATTACACTTCATAAAATATCAAGATGTTGTGCGGATTATCGAGAACTGGCTGGCTGAATGGAATAAGGTGTGCGTTAGCTTGCTTACACTACATTATGTACCGCAAGCTAAGAGCTACTAAGTCTTGTGCTACGTGCATATGTCACATATTTGACTAATTAGTTTGGGATGAGTTTGCATCTGGTTCCTGGACGATTTCGGAGAGCTATGTAGTGGTTTTACCATCCCCAAGGCAAGGGACTAGCTAATCGGAATTCGGTGACACAAACCTCGCCAAATTATCATCCGTCGGGTGCTTGTGCAGTGTATCATTGATCTGGTGTCAGGGGAACGATAACTACTCCTTCGATTCTCAGAATACTACTCCGTAATAAAATCGGCCGATAAATAATGCACCAATCCCTCAATGTTTCGTTACACTTCCTTACAACGTTGGGTACCCAGCAACAGGTCTTACTATAAATGACAATATCTTTCCATCAGCTCTTAACCTCTCACATAAACTCAATAAACCCTATCCACAGTTCTTGTTTTCAACGAATCAATTTTCGTTTCAAGAATAAAACGAACCGGTAAGTTCCTCATTACTTGCAATTCGAGAGAAATAGAAATAACTGACTCCCAAAGTCCAGTATTAACACGAAATCAATCACACGATGCATTTTTTGAGGATTTCTAGTATCCTGACTCTTTCTTCGACGGTCTTCGCAAACCAATGCTACAACCATAAGGAAGACGTGCAGAAATTGAAATGCGTTGAAAAAGAAGAGCTATCACAATTCGCCTCCAACTACTGCAAAGAGAACTGAAGCAAGCTTGTGGGAGACTGGACCGAATACAATGATCGAAGTGGAAACACGGCTAATATTGGCAAGGTGGCCAATTTTCACTCAAAGGAAGCCTGTATCATTGTCTTTCTGCAAGTAGTGGAAAGATGTTACGATGCCTGGGGTGGTGGCCTGTCTGTTGATGAGGGGACTTTGTTGAATATCAATTTTTGCAAGTGGCAGGCGGAGCCAAAGAGAGTTCGATATGATTCGTTGGATGCTAGACCCGAGGCAAAGAGAGTTGCATGGGATGAATTAATTGACGTTCCTGAAGTTAATTGACGTTCCTGAAGCAAAGAGACTTAGAACCTGAAGCACCAAGAGTCATATATGAATGACTCCGAGAAGCAAAGAGTGTCGCGTGGGGAATGGATTGAAAGAAGTTCTGGAGCTAGAGGATCCAAACTGACCAAAACCTACGGCTCCACGAGTCGATATGAAGGACCCCGAGAAGCGAAAAGAGTAGCCTGGAATGGACTCCCAGGTGACCATGAGCACACTGCCAAAAAAGTTGATTTCAGGGTTTGAAACTGCAATCTCAAGATTTGTGAAATGGAATAGGGACAGTGGAGGTATCTTTTCTTTCCTCATTATTGTTCTTGCCTCGTGTTTCTCGATGTAGCTCTGCAGTTATCTATGGATTTTGCAATGAAGATTCATGGCATTTCTGTAACACTGTGTTATACTTTGGTGGATTATAATTGCCTAGAATATGCTAGTCAAAAGCGGGATTTCTTTTCATAACGGGGGTCCAGTTGTGTGTTATCCCTTGTGCATCAGGATTCTTGAGTCGATATTATTCTCGTCGTTTGAAGATTAGCTTTGTTAAAAGTGAATTCATATCGGTTTACGTCCTCCATTTACCTTCTTGTTAAGGCACTTACTCATCATTCCTGCCTTCTGTTTTATGACTAGGAAAATCTCATGGTCCCAGAGTCCCTAGAAGCATAGAGAGTCAAAGAATCCAGGATATAATCCCGGCTGTCTTATGCATGATGAAGGGATTCTGAACTGCTATAATTCTTACTGGCCATGAAAAGAATTTCCTGCATAACATTCCTATAGATTTGACCTCCTTACTAGATAAAAGAGATCCTAAGATAGAAGAATGTGGAAGAGAATCGCAATGCCTCTTTCGAAGATTATTGATTCAAGTCAAAGTGGGTATGAAAGGGACATCACGAAGACGGAAATTTTCATATATTCATTGTGCACAATTCTTCGGGCGAGAACAAGCTTTTCATATACGGAACTTATGTGGTGATCAACGAAACAGAAGATGGTTTCATCACCAAAGCAAAAGTTCCTAATGAGGAACACGAGAGAGTATCGAAACCCGTCATCTCTCTTCTCATATCCTCCCAGTAACCAGCTGAAAGATAATTTCATGCAGTTCTACTAAATAGAGCTTCAATGTTTGTTCACAAATGATCATTTCCAGCAAAGTAACATCACGTACGACACTCCGCATATCACAGCAATCACGATTCCGATGCGAAGTATTAGCCGACATGACACCGACAAGATGGTAAGGGGATAACTCTCCAAAAGGGCGGTAAGGAAGAGCAGAGGATAAATTATGATTTAGAATTTGTTTCACAGTCCATCCGAGAATTGAAGTCATACAAGACACGGAGAAATGCCCCGCGAGGATATGCAAACGAATTTGTAATGCGGGGCAAGGGGCGGTCTGAAGAGAATAGTCGGAGAATCAATTCGTGATCTCTCGTGTGTGATGTATCTCTCGCTTTTTGGGTTAAGACGGCGGAGGGGGTAATTTTCTGAGTAGGCCTCACATTTATCGATCAGTGCATCAGGCTCTCGATTATATCACCAAGTGGAAATGATCGGCTTCGTTATGGGAGTTTTCATATGAGCGCGATATTTTGGTAAGCTTATAGAGTATGGGGTAAAGCTGGAGATTGTACTTATACTCTGCAGATCAATTTCAAATTTGGTCAGAATATCATATGTGATATCGTCGAAGGCTAACATGAATGGCGTAGCTGATGGGAAACCAGGACAGGTGCTGGCACTCCAAGAGCATCATGTAAGTAGCTCACCCATCTTTTGTAGGGCAATCAGACTAATTGTGTGTATCTAGGTAGATATGCAGAGAACATTGCCAGGCTACGAATGGAAATAATCGGCCCGTTTTAGCAATTCCGAAGAGGTCGCTCAAATTATCTGCAAGCAGCAGAAAAAGAGGTTATTACTTTGAAAATCGTGTCTTTCCCCGCGACCCGTCTCGGAGACAGAATACGCCAAAGTTATGATTGCCAGCAGAAAAAAAACAATATGGCGAGTTTCGTCTCCTAAAGCTTCATTTCGTCAAAGAACTGTGCATATAAATAGTCCTTCCTAGACCATCATATCAAAACAATTATCCATCAACCAGCTTTCACATCTTCACATTTCAACAACTGCTTACGCAACAGTTACAGTTTCCCAACCTCGAACAGAAACACCCTCCCAACAGTTTTCACCATGAAGTTTATCTATCTTGGGCTCCTCATCGCTGCCACCACCGCGTATGCCTGCGGAGACAATGCCTACAGGTGCAAGAATCCCAAAAAAATCATAGCTGAGGAATGGAAAGCCACCCATGAAATTTGTAACAATCTCAGGGAAGACGATTGTTATTGTTCTCACTGGGCAGAATACTACTGTGATCCCTATGGCGGGAACATTCAGAAATTCAAGGATCAATGCGAGGCTAAAGGCAGCGACTGGTATTGGAGTGAATGTAGACAAAGTAGGAAGCTTTTATCTTCGCAGATTTCTCCTTAGCTAATTTTGAATCAGTTCCCATGACATCGTCTTATCAGGCCTGAATGCAGTTGGAGCTTGTTTTCTTCATTTGAGCTCCAAGGTATAGGTGTTGATAAAGGGCAAGGAAGGATATCATGAAGAGTGACAAACAGATGTTTCGTTGGCTTGGGACTCTATATTTGTCATGTATTGTGTGTCTCAGCGCTATCTAAATCTTGTTGCATATCGAAAGTTTGGTCAGATTTGTTTTAGAGGCTCGAGGAGCTTTCAATTTCACTCTTTTGGCTCTCCGGCAAACCCAGAACACTTATTTTGGCTCTGGGCACTTTTCTATCTGAAACCTCGATCAATAACACTTATTTACTGCACACTAAATTAACACGCGAAGACTCAAATTTTTAAGATACAAATCGGAAAATCGTGAAGTGAATTTCCTAAGTGAATATATTGGGGTGCATAAATATGTGTGTTAATCATGGCAAGACATCCTCCTACTTGTCACGATCACATACTAGAGCATATCATAGAGGTCAAATAACTAGAATAAGAAAGCTAAAGAGGAAAGAGATCCTTAAGGGATCTCTTTATCTCTTATATACGTCTAGTTCAAGCTAGTCTTGAACTAGGCTGTGATGAGTCATCATGTATGTCACGTGATATTCGTCATACTACTACTTTTTTCACAAGAGGAGATTCAAGCAGTGTAGGCAATAGTATTTCCCGTAATTCGTATACGGGTTAGTATCGTAGTGCGTATCGATTTTTTTTCCAAATATATACGTACATAGTATGGAATTCAATACTACTGAAGATTTTCAATATTATTCTAATTGTCACGGTGTGAGATCACGTGACATATTGGTCCCCTCGAAGGGGACCGAATTGAGCGCTCGTGCTGGAGTGCAAGTAAGCTAGGGTCCGATCAGGCTAGCTCGCTTAGCAAAATTTTATATATCTTTAATTTGGAAGATCCTATATCATAGTTCTTTAAACTACATCTTAATCCTCAATCTAAACCTATTATCCAAACCAATATAACTTTGCCAAATTAGAGCAAAGTTATTAGAGCTCTATCCTGTTTGTTTGTCCCATAATACTATATAGCTCCTACCCATTAAAATATCGTTTTCGTGATAACTGCTCTATACCCATTTAGCCGGCCCAGGGACTCCTCAGAATTTAATATTTCTATATCAGAGGACCCTTAGGTTTGGTATTAATACCTTCAGTCGGTATCTATATATTATACTGAGCTAGAAGAGACTAACAAATCACTCGAATACGAAATTTCCGAATTCCTAGTTCGCGAATATATCCAAACCGCCCTGCATAAGCAGATTATTACTCAAAATGCCTGTCTACTCGATCGTTTTACCGAATCCACATCTACTGTACCTGCTCGTTTAGAAACTGTATCCTCCGAAACTCTTATTGACTTTGTCCCTAAACTTATTATACTTATTCCAATCACACAATTAAATAAACACATTCCCAATCCAAAAGAGTTTGATGGTATTCGTTTCGATCTGTATAGATTTGTTCAACAGATATACGGAAAATTGAATATAAATAATAATAGATTTCCAATATCTTCTGCCCAATTGACTTACACTGCCAGAAAACTTATTGGAAAAACATACAAGCTTATACTACTCAAGATCTCCTATGGAACTCTCCAGTTCATCGATTATACCATATTCCTTGAATATCTCGAAAAATGTTTTTGAAGATTGTAATCGAATACAAAATGTACAGAATAAACTATACATATTGAAGCAAAAACATCTTGATTTTAATATCTTCTTCACAGAATTCTAAGACTCGTTTTAGAAAGGAAATACCTATGAATACTCTAATTCTGTTTCTATTCTAGAGAATTTTTGCAAACGATAGATAGACTATTATATAATTCTATTTCACTCGCGAATTTCATTAATACACTAACCACGTATAATAACTCGATAATCAATTCTCTAATACCAATAACAAATCTACTATATTCATTCTATCACTCACAAAACCTTACCCCAAAGAACAACCACTGCTCTGCTTCTACAATCTGCTAGCGCCAAGATCATTCCTGAAGATCTAATAGATCTAACTTATAAAAAAAGGAATATACTATTAGAAATCTTGAGTTCACATGAGATTGTAACAAATACTATCGCTTGTAGCTCTACTATCCATCTGATACAAGATTGCTTATAACCTAATACCCATCCTATTCAATTTCGAGTTATCATTAATTATAACCAGCCCTACAAAAACCAATCCTATATCAAATAATCCTTCAAGGAGCCGAGTCCCTATCCGTTCCTCACCTGTTTTCCTCCTCTCTACTTGCTGACCAACTTGATCAATTCGGGAAACAGAATATATCTGATCTAAATTGCAATCAGAATAATCCTTTGTATACTCTTTGTTTTTCTATTATTACTACTTATAAGCCTTTCTTTAAAAAATAAACTAAATAATTATGGTAGATCTGATAATTCTATCTATGATTCTGCTTTAGAAAAAGATACCCTCCGATATATATTATAATGATAACGGATATAAAGGAATTGTTGTTTACCAATTGAAACCTAAAGTATTCTTCCCAAAAAATATTAGTATATTAATTATCTACAGCATTCAAAGTATAGGATTTAACCAGAAACACACCCTATCCATAATCGCATTACCTTCTTATATTCAAATAGGATTTAGAATCAATAATCATATCAAAAAGAAAGATCGTTTTGTATATAATCGAGCTAGCCCATTATCCTATTATACTAAGAATAGCTTAGCTTAAGAAAACACAACCCCCATATCGACTTCACAAACAAACTTGTTTTAATTCGATAGCTTGTTTTGCTATGAATTTTGTAACACTCCGTTCCATCTGTTCCATATAAAAGCTTTGCCAAAAATACTTTCAAAAGTCGGATCCTGTATACCTACTGCCCGTCCCGAAGGATTAAAGATAAAGGATATAGCTGTAATCTTCTTAAGAGGCCTATTCGACTTATGCCCACCAGAAATATGAAATATTCCGATATTGATCAAACAAATCGATAATATTCTAATAAAGAAAAGAAGATATTCGATTCAAAAACCTATTACCCAAATTCCGAAATTGGAAAGATATCTTCTCCCCAAAGAATGCAGAGAAGCTACCCCCTCATCGACCGTACAACTATAAGATCCGTTTCAAAAAAAAGCTATTCCTTTTTTTGATATCTTATACTCTATCCCACTCCGAATTAGAAACCCCTGAAAAAATAAATTGAAAAAGAATCTTAAAAAAAGGTTCATCCAGCCAAGCTCTTTCCCTACTACTTCCCCTATCTTATTTATCAAGAAAATCGATAGAAGTCTTCGGTTTTGTATAATTACCATATTTTGAATAACTTATCAGTTAAAGATCAATACCTCTTGCCATTAACAAAATTTTTTTTAAACAATTTGAAAGGAATAAAGTATTTCAATAAGATCGATATTATCTTTGCCTTCAATAATATAAGAGTAAAAAAAGAATAGAAATACCTGACTACATTCCGTACCCGATTCGGATTGTTTGAATCCTTAATTATATTGTTTGGGCTAACAAAGGCTCCCACAACCTTTCAGAAATTTATCAATAATTCCCTACAAGGATACCTGAATATTATTTTGTATCGCTTACCCTGGACAACATTCTGATATACAGCCAAACTCGAGAGGAACACATCCGCTATATCCAGAAGGTTCTGTAAGCACTACAGAAAGCCGGCTTGTTCACTAAATTCGAAAAATACAAATTCCTGAAATCCGAAACCAAATTCCTAAACCTTATTATAGAAAACAATAATATCCAAATAGATTTAGAGAAAATCAAATAATTGTAGATTGGAAATTGCTTATTAGTATAACCGACATTCAAATATTTATTAGGTTTTTGAACTTTTATTAATAATTTATTAGAAATTTTTCGAAGATTATTAATCTGATAATAAACTTGATTAAAAAGAATATTCCATTCCTATAAAGCTTTGTCTATTAAGAAAGTATTCGATTGATTGAAGTAAACATTTACCAAAAACACCTGTCCTGACTTCCTTTGATTAGGAAAAGAAAATAATCGTAGAAACCGATGCATCCGATTATATATCCATCAAAGTACTTTCTCAATAACAATAATAATAAAGTACTTAAATCTATTACATTCTTTTCTAAAAAATATTCGACAGCTAAATACAATTACAAGATTTACAATAAAGAACTACTAACTATCATCCATTGCTTCAAAAAATGATACCCTAAATTAAAAGACACTATATCATTAATTCAAATAATCACCGATTATAGGAATCTGGAATATTTTACCACAACAAAACTATTGAACCACCATCAAGCCCGCTAATCCGAATTTCTATTTCGATTTAATTTCCGAATCACCTATCACCCCGAAAAACTAAATATCAAACTCAATATATTAATCAAAAGATTAGAAAATCTCCTTAAGGAAAGGGATAAGCATTTTCTGTATTAAAGCCATACTATCCTGAAACAAGAAAACCTAAATCCCAACCTGTTTCCTACTACTATTACCCTAATCGAACCCAAGATTGTCAAGAAAATACACTTCACTATAACCACCCATAGCCAAAGAAACCCCAACCCTACCAATACTACCAACCACTTGGATTCCGATGATACTATAACTTTACCAAAAAATAGCAAAGTTATAAAGCCTGCAATCCCACATACTATATCTATACCTAATCCTATAATATTATTAGAAAACTCAGAAACCTTTTTAAATCTTTTTACTAATCTGCTTACCCTGTTCCACAAAGACTATCAAGCCAACCCTATACTCAAATCTATTCTGAAATCCCTATAAGAGGGATTCCCGAAACACTCGAAAATCACTTTTACTGAGTATACCGAAAACAATAATCTACTATATTATCAAGGGAAAACTACATTCCCAATTACCAATCTTCTAAAAACCTACCTGCTCTACTTATACTACGAATCACCTACCACCGATCACCGATAACCATACCCGAATCTTGAATTATTATTCCAAAACTATTACTAGTCTGAATACTATGATTATATTATATAATAAATCTGTAACTATTACAATTGCTATTGCATACTACCCCGAATCGCAAAGGTCAGAAGGGAGTTCTCTTTTCTCCGCTCATTCCCGATCTCGCAGAGAGCTTGGCAAGATATCTCAATAAATTTCATTATACATTTGCTCGAAAATACCAATTTCAATACTATCATAATAATAATCGATTGATTGATAAAATAAAACATTTCTTACTCTGTTATAATACCTTAACTCCAAAAAGATTATTTATCTATTCCAAAAGAATATCTGGAAGCTTTATAGCTTATTCCCTAAACTATTATATTTAATTAT